TCATTCTTTGGATTTCATCAAGAATATCGAGACATATAGCAGGAACACCAGGACAAACGAGGCAACAATATTCAATGAACGGACAAATGGTAGACTTAAAAAGGTGAATATGTTTTGATGAGAAAAACAAGCTAGTGTAAATGAATGCTTGTAAATGGTCTTTGAGGAATTTGTTACAAGCATTACTTACAATTAAAAACAGTTTCTGTACTATAGATCGGTTCAAGAAAAAATGTATGGTGTGTCAGTGAAGTAAGTCTTAATGCCAGTAAGCTGGCCAAGGGCGCCTTCCAAAAGCTGGGCAGAGTATTGCGAGACAGGAGAATATCTTTGGTAACAAAGAAAAGAATACTGAACTGTTACGTGACATCTGTCTTTCTTTACGCCAGCAAATGTTGGACGATTTCTTTATAGAAACAAGCATAATCTAAAAGAAAACAGAATGCATGGTTATCAGTCTAAGGATGAGTCCGAATTGCGATTTTCGGCTAGGGAACACTAGAATCAAGCAGACGCAGAAGTTTAAATACCTGGGAAGATTTTTGACAGAGGACGGTAAGTATGACATTGGGATCCTTATAGGTAATGGGATGGCCAAGGACACATTACAAAAGCTGGGCAGAGTATTACAATACAAGAGGATTTCTTTGGTAACAAAGAAAAGAATACTGAGCTGTTACGTGACATCTGTCCTTCTTTATTGCAGCGAATGTTGGACGTTTTCCTCAAAGATGAAGAAGAGACTCGAGACGACAGAGATATGGTTCTACAGAAGGATGCTAAGCATATCATGGACCGAGCGTGTGAGCAACGATGAAGTATTAGAGAGGTTTCAGACAAGGAGGAGGCTTATATTTAACATCAGGGAGCAGTAGCTGAAGTTTCTGGGACACATAATGAGGAAGTGGGGGCCTGGAGAATCTGATACTCACAGGTCGAATAGAGGGAAAGAGAGACAAGGTACAACAATGCGTGCCACACCAGGTGGACTTAAGATAGTAGATGACAAAACGTGGTCTTGGGGAGGAAACAGATGGAAGGAACTTGTTGAGAGATACATGGGATAGAGGGAAGTGGAAAGTCATGAACGTCAACGTCCTGAAAGGACAAGGCATATAAGAAGAAAAGAAAGATTTTTGGCGTGACTTGAACGTAACATAGAATATTTAAGAAGACAATGTAACAAATAGTAAATAAGATCAGCTTACTAACCTCTAAGCTAAATTCTTCTTTTTTTTATTATATTCGGTTTGATTTCATGCTTTCTTACGCACCGTTCGCTTATAGATGCGCAATATTTCAAGTGATTTCCCGATGTCATGAGCTCTCGACTCGGTAGCTATACTGATGAAACAACTATTTATTTCTGTTCAATAGTAATGCTGATAGTTTCGATGAAAACGATTTGGCATCTGGTCATTTGGTAGATTAGACGCCAATCTCTTGTTAACTGAAGCAAGAAATGTCAATCTCTTGTTAACTGAAGCAAGAAAATGGCTTGTTTTATTAAAACCCCTCCAAAACATAGTGCTCTCTTTTAATTATCTTTGAGAACCTTTATTTCTTTGCGTCAATATGACTGATGCTAACCCCACGGAGAATAACGCATTGTGCTTTGTCAGTCTAATGTTTGCAACTGGCATGAAATGGAACGATTATATTGAATCAATTTCTAGGCCTGTTGCAAGGAAAATTTGCTTACTGTGTCCAGCAGGAAGGCCTCTTATTGGGAGGTTTTGAAAAGAATGGAACCCCCTCTTAATTGATGTTGTTTCCAATTCCACCCAGGCTATGGGTGGTAGCACCTGTCAGGGCCCTAACTATGGACAAAAGTGAACACCCAAACTCGGACTAAAACACTATGAAAGTATGAAAATATATATTTTAGAGTAAAAATTTCCAGCAAAAGGTTCTAATAGTAAAAAAATACCAAAGCTCCCAATTAAATTTAGGCATTAAATGACCCATAAGGATATTATATAGGAAATAAAATATCGTTACCGATACTTGAGTTTGAACATAGATCGCCAGTGAGCAAACACAGGCGATCCCATAATTGAATTAAGTAGACCACGTGACCATAGAGGAAACGCATATATGTAGGAAGTAGCTGACAACTAACGATCGCTATTCCTATTCTATCCTCTATACTAGTAGGATCGCATTTCTACTCTTTCCTCTATTACTATATGGGCCGCTATTCTCTACTTTATTCACTATACTATTTCTATATATTGATCACTATTCGATTACTATTCGAGCATTATCGAGCAAGTATTATTAGTGTGAGATTATTCGAAGGCGTCTGACACCAGTATTGTTCAACAGCGTACTATAGTTGTATCTACGATTACAAAGTCTCTACTACAACGAGCATTACGAAAGGGACAACGAGTGTTTGTTGACAGCACAAAAAAAGGAGTTGATGTGCCATTAACCAAAACAAAACCTTATTCTGTCGTACTAGAACAGTTCTTCCCGCCAGAATCTGTCTTACCGATTTAAACGTTTACCATTCGACCATACATTTAATCTTGCTATCCCAGATGGTTGGATGCCTCTACTATGTATCTAGAGATTCTTGTTAAAATCCAAAGAAGAATCTGCAATGTTATTAGTCCTGACCTGGTATCTAGTCTTCATTCACTCTCCCACCCTCGTAACGTAGCTTCCTTCTGCCTTTTCTATAAATATTTTCATAATAAATGTTCTGATGAACTTTCCATTTTGGTCCATGGACTTTACAAATTTAAGCTCAGTACCAGATTCCTCATCCTTTTAGAGTTGAAATGGCTAGATGTAACTGTAAGTTCTATGCTAACAGTTTCTTCCCTCGCACTTCTCAATTGTGGAACTCTCTTTAGGTTTTCTGCTTTCCAGTTAACGTTGATCTTCAAATATTAAATCGTCAGATATCTACTTAATTCCTGTTCTTTTATTCTCCTCTCTCCTCAATGTTTCTTCGAGGATTTTTTCAAACTCAGCAACATCATTGCCTCTTAGTGACTTTATCACTTTGTTTGGGATGAAATGATTAATAATAATAATAATAATAATAAAGAGAGGAATTGAAGGGATTCCTGGAAGCTCATGTCTTAAAGAAATACAAAAATTGTTCTCACAAGTACAATCCACACATTACGAAGGGCTCTATGTATTATTATTTTTTTAATTTTTTTTTAGTGGAAAATGTCATGATGCCATATCTAACCTTAGTTCTCTGGGCGGGACCCGGAAAAAATGTTAACACCCGAGAAATCAGGAAATAGAATAATAATAATAATAATAATAATGTTCCTCACAGACAGGAAAATTAAAACAAATATACCAGAAACAGCCAAAAAAAGATTTTTTTTAAAAATATGCCAATTAAGTAATATGACTTGCCCACAGTATTCCAGTGCTTCTATAAAAGAAATTCAAAAACTTTCAAATGATAAGAACCTGAAATTCAAAGTAAACAAAAATCTGGAAACTTAAAACTACGATTACCCCTTTTGTGATAGGGGGATTTGGTTATGATAAAGAAGGGTACCGAAAATCATTTGAGTACAATTCCAGGACACATCTGTTATTCATGATGTTCATCTTTGAGTATAGAATCCAGAGGTTAGCAGTGAACATTTCGAAGACAGTAGGGAAGGGTAGTTCAGGTTAGCAGTGGATATCCCGGTAAAAGTAGCAGAGCGTAGTTCGTCCTTCTGTTTCTCTTCGCCTGACAAGCTGGCATTGGACATTCGGATAGAATAAACAAAATGGCCGCCTTTATACACGACGGATTGAATATTCTACGTCTTCTGATTGGTTAACCTTCTATTGGTGGACTATAAAGTGAGTCAAGAAGTCATTTGGGCTATCTCACTAGTTACATATATATATATACACACAAAAAACTGCAACAACATCGACATATCAGAAGATTATTTTATGCGAAACTGTACACATCACCCGAAAAACACTGTCCATCTAAACGAAACGTTACAAATAAAGCATAGATAACACTTCTACATTGTCCTTTTTTCTCAGAGACCCAGGTGGGGATGTGGTAATTACGTACTGAACATTACTCTCTGGCAAGATGATATACAACAACACCAACACCAACACCACCCTCAGACCTGATATTATCATAAAGAAACGAAATTCACGAAGCGCGTGCTTATTGACATAACAGTACCATCTGAGAGAAACGCCTCCATGAAAATTATCAAGAAATGCTCCAAATACAATGACCTTGAGATCGAGATTAGCAGGATGTGGGGAAGGAAGACTGAGAATGTACCAGTAGTAACTGGAGCCGTGGACCTCGTGTGAAAAAGAATATCCCAGGTAACATCTTGTCCCAATAGGCAAGTTGCCCTGAAGAGCGCCCTACTAGGAACATTCTATATACTAAGAAAAGTCTTACCAATTAAATGACAATTCTCCTATAGGGCCTAAGGACCATAGTTTGGACTGGCTCTACAAGATAAAAAGCAGGAAATATAACACACAAACAACAACAACAATAATAATAATGATAATAATAATAATAATAATGATCATGATGATGATGATAATAATAATGATGATGATGATAATAATGATGATGATGATGATGTTGATAATAATAATAATGATCATGATCATGATGATAATAATAATGATGATGATGATAATAATGATGATGATGATGTTGATAATAATAATAATAATGATGATAATAATAATGATGATGATGATAATGATGATGATGATGATAATAATAATAATGATGATGATGATGATGATAATAATAATGATGATGATGATGTTGATAATAATAATAATAATAATGAGGTTTCCTACTTTCCTGTCAACTTTGATCTTCAAAAACTTAAATGTAGTGTCAGTGTTCATATGTTTATTTAATTCTTGTTCTTTTATTCTCCTCATTCCTCAATGTTTCTTCACGGATTCTTTCAAACTCAATAATCCCCTCGCTTCTTAGTGGCTTTGTCGTCTTGGTTGGGGTGAAATGTTTAAAAAGATATGATTGTTTTGGCAAAATTAATGCTTGAAAAACTAACGTGAGTGATGAAAGAATGATAATGACGGTGATGATTAAGAAAACAAGTAAAACTGGAGAAAAAAATAATGGAAAAGAAAAAAGAAATCGAATGGCTGCGTAAAGACGCGCTGTTAATGAGAGAATTATTCGATAAATCGGAGTGTGGATAATTGTGAGTAGGCGGGAGAATATTCTGTGAGTAGAGTGCAGGAAATGGGAGAATGAAGAGAGTAAAGGGATTGTTGCAGAAGTCAGGATGGGTTGGTTGTTGAAGCGGTTTGTAGGTAAAATAAAAAACAGAAGTCTGTCTGGAGAAATGGGGTAGGGGATAAGGGGGAAGAAAGAAAGGAAGAAAGAAAAGGTAAGACAACGAATAAAGAAAGAAAGAAAAAAGAAAGAAAGAAGAAAAAGAAATGGATCGAAGAAAGAAAGAAAAAAAAGAAAGAAAAAGAATAAAGAAAGAAAGAAAGACAACGAATAACGAAAATAAAGAAAGAAAGAAAGAAAGACAAAATAAAGAAAGAAAGAAAGAAAGAAAGACAAAAGAAAGAAAGAAACAACGAATAAAGAAAGAAAGAAAGAAAGAAAAGAAAGAAAGAAAGAAAGAAAGACAACGAATAAAGAAAGAAAGAAAGAAAGAAAGAAAGACAACGAATAAAGAAAGAAAGAAAGAAAGAAAGAAAGAAAGAAAGAAAGAATGGATAAAGAAAGAAAGAAAGAAAGAAAGACAACGAATAAAGAAAGAAAGAAAGAAAGAAAGAAAGACAAAAAAAGAAAGAAAAAATGAGAAAAAAGAAAAAAGAAAAGAGATAGTGAAGAAAGTTAAAATTAAAAGAAAAAAGACAACGAATAAAGAAAGAAAGAAAGAAAAAACAAACGGGAAGAGGGAAAAAAAGAAATTAAAAAAAGAAAGATGAAAAAATGAATGAGAAGGAAATGTAAAGAAAGAAAGAAAGAAAAAATATCGAAAAAGAAAAGAAAGACAACGAATAAAAAAGAAAATGAAAAAGAAAAGAAAAAGAAAATATTCAAAGAACGATGAATGCGTTAAAATTAACAGAAAAGAAAGATAGAAAAAAAAAACAAATGGGAAGAGGGACAAAAAGAAATTAAAAAAGAAATGGCAACGAATAAAGAAAGAAAAAATAAAAAAAAAGAAAAAAAAAAAATGAAGAAAAAAAAGAACGATGAAAGAAATTAACAACGAATAAAGAAAGAAAGAACGAAAGACAACGAATAAAGAAAGAAAGAAAGAAAGAAAGAAAGAATGGAAAAGACAAGGAATAAAAGAAAGAAAGAAATGAAATAAAATTGAAAAAAGAAAAAAATAGGAAAATGATAAAAATGAAAAGAAGAACTATAAAAAAGAAGCAAACAAGAAAGAAAATAGAAGAGGAAAAAGAAAGGAAAATGAAAGAAGAAAATTTAAAGAACGTTGAATGCGTTAAAATTAACTTAAAACAAAAATAAAGAAATAAAGAATGAATGGGAAAAGCATGTGTTTAAAATGAAGAACTAACAACAGAATTATGCAAAAGTGGAAGAAGAGGGAAAAGCAAAGCTAAAAATGAAAGAAAGAAAAATAGGGAAAAGAAGTAATATTCAAAGAAAGAAGAACGTGTTAAAATTGACAGAAATGGCTGAAAAAGATAAAATAGTAAAACAAATGGTGAGTCGGGAAGTATGCACTTGCACTAAGTGGAAACTAACGAGTGATAACCGATTAGTACTAAAATTAACAACTAGACGAGATACATGAACTGTGAAACGAGAACAGCTTATCCCCGTTGCCTAAATGAATGATACAATTGTGAAGTCTCTGTAGTTTACCTAGATCAATATACACCGGAAGAGCAGAGGAAAAAAAAAAGACCGAAGCGATGTGATAATAATAAAATGAAGACAATGGCCCAAATATAAATAGTATAAAAATGACGAATGATTGAAAATTCAAAGAAAGAAAATAAAAAAGTGAAAGAAAGAAGGCAACAAGATGTCGTAAAATTCAAATATAAGAAAGAAAGATGACAGACAAAATCCAGATGTCAATAATAGCAGCGCTACAAAGAAAGAGAAAAACGAAGTAGAAAAAAAAAACGAAAAGAAAGAATGAAAATAAAAGAAAGAAAGAAGGAGAAAACAAAAAGACGTAATCCCTGCCTCCCTTCAGAATGGCTGATGTTCAACTCCACTAGAGCGCCTCTCTGCGCCTGCTTGGTCTCACGCTGTTCACTGACCTGAAGCGGAACAACATTGAATCTATAATGACATCTACCGCAAGGAAAGTTGGTTCTCTGTGTCGCGCCAGAAGGTTTTTTTCTCGCCTGAGTCCATCCTTCAAATCTACAAATCAACAATTCGTCCTTGCATGGAATTCTTCTGCCATATATGGTCTGTTGTTCCCGCTGTTCTTCTCGATTTCCTCGACAAAATTCAGAGACGGATATGCAATGTGATTGGTCCTGATCTGGCATCTAGTCTACAGTCGCTTTCTCACAGACGCAATGTCGCTTCCCTCTGTCTTTTCTACAAATATTTTCATGGCAACTCCTATGGCGAGCTACTTTCACAGGTTCCCAAACCGCATGAATTTAAGCGTTCTACGAGGTTGGAATCTCATATCCTACCCTTTCACTTTTGAAACAGCTAAATATAACCGACTCTTCTACCCCAAACGCTTCTTTTCTTGCACTTCCCGTCACTTCTCCTCTTACTCGCATCCCTGACACCTATAATCTTCAAATATTCATATATAATGTCAATGGACATCTTCTGATATCTTGACCTTGATCCCCTTCCTTGTCTTAATCCTTTTCTCAAACACTTCTTTTTACTCTTGCTCTCAGTCTCTGCAACCCCTTGCGTACTAGTGGCACTCCCACCTTGCTTGAGGTGATTTGCTTAAGGCAAAAAAAAACTTGCATATAAGAATGAAAGATTGCGAAATTCACAAAAAAAAAAAAAAAAAAAACTTTGTTTAAAAGCAGGAAGAAGAGACAGAAAGAAAAATGGATGACGGAAATATTATCAAACAAGAAAGAAAGAAACAAGAAGATATTCACTAACCGCCCCACCCGATCGGATGCGGCACAAGGCCGAGTTTATTGTGGGGTATCCGAACCCCTAGAAAGAAAGAAGAGATATTTAGCGACCCCACTACCCACGAGGGTTACATGTGGCACAAGGCCGGGTTTAACGTGGGATTTCCGAGCCCGTAGGCTCGGCCAAAAATATACCCCCTTTGAACCCGCATAAACGGGTTCAGGGGAAAGTCATCCACCCCGAACGAGACTCTGCCCTTCGGCGGAGACTCGTCCGAGTTCTTCTCCGCTCGAAAGCAGAGAGTTAGACTGTTACTTAGCCAAAAAGAAAAGTAAGAATGGCAAACGAGAAAAATAAATAAATTCCTAACAGACGAATAGAAAAGGTCACTTTATAAATTGATTTACCAGTTGTAAATATTAAGAATAATTTCACTAAAAACATTAAATACCGATTTGTTCTGTACACTATACAGATAATGTCGATAAAAAATATAATTTTATTATCATATTTTAAATTTGCAAAATTAAATGTTTATTATTTAAGATATAAAATCTTCGAGGAAAATAAACATTTATTTAGATTGCTCGAAGGTTAAATTTCTGACGCATTAATAAAATGTAAAAAAAATAAGAAAGATTTGGAAATACGATGTAAAATAAAAAGTGTTTAAACAAAGTAGTAAAGAAAGGTGAGAGTAAAATGATAAGAACGAAAGAAAGAACGAACAAAAGTAAGAAAAAAAGAAAGAAAACGAATTAAAACTAAGGAAAAATAGAAAGAATGAAAACTGTGAAACAATTGAAAGAAAAGAAAGAAAAATAGAAAAGTCAGAATAGATTAACAGAGAAAGTAAAAAAGAAAGATAAGCAGAAAGAAAGTATGCAAAAACAAAGAGTGTAAAAAAGAAAGAAGGAAAGACTGAAAATGAAAAATTATTGAAAGAAAGGAATGAAAAATAAAAAAAAAGTTAGATTATAAAAACAGAAAAGAGAAAAAAACAAACGGAAATTAAAAAAAAATAAATGAAGTGATGGCGAAAAAATGGAAAAAAGGGAAAATATGAAAATAAAGAAAAAAGAAACAGAAAAAAAGATAGGAAGAAACAATTAAAGAAAGAAAGAAAGAAAGAAAGAATTAAAGAAAGAAAGGAAGAAAGAATTAAAGAAAAAAAGAGAGAACGAACATGAAACGCCTCAGTGAAATGAACAGAAAAGAACAAAAGGGAAATTTAAAATTTTCCCAAGCAAAAAAAAGAGATAAATAAATAAAAGGACACATCAAAGACGGAAAGGTGAGAGAAAAACCAATGGTAACAAGTTTCATAAACTGAATATTAATTTAGAATGAAAAAGAAAGAAACGAAATGCAAATTACGTTTGAAAATCAATATTTAAACCGAGTGTCCTGTCGATACTAGGTTGAAATGTTTAATATGAAACAAAAAATATACTGAATGAAATTCATACAGATCAGCTTGAAAGTAAAGAAATGTGAAATTATAAAAACAAGATAGATGTAGAACTAAACACTAAAACATGAGCATATGCGTTTGGTGCATAATTATCAGGCGTTTTTGTAGACGAGTTATTTGTTAATAAAAATTGCTGTATTGTTTACTTTTTTTACGAAAAATATTACTTTATTTCCAGGTTATAAAAATGCGTGTCGATAATCATACCCTCCGAAATAATCATTTTAAAATGTTATCGTTGAATTGTTAAGTTTCTTTTTTATAATAAATATTGTTTAAAAAACGCCTGATAATTATGCACCAACCGAATAAAATCTATAATCATTGCAGTATAAAGGACTGTTTCCAATTAACCGAAATATTAAAGCAACCAGACATCCCAGGGAACATCGAGTTTTATTCAAATTGTTTCAGATTTAGTGTTTAGTGTCATTTGATTCTTTGCGATGACCAACGGACAATTGGGTTGTGAAGCTACAAATAATAATAATAATAATAATAATAATAATAATAATAAAACGCGAAACCGAAAATTGGTCATAAATTCTTTGGCTGTCCTGCTAGTGCAATAGTTTCAACATCCTTAATTGGACCATAGCTAGCATTCAGCGAATAGACGTCAAAACGAGAAAGTATCTCACTTGTCACCTCATGCATCATCGTAAGGCTGATGCTGATCGCCTTATTTGTCCAGATCCGGAGCAGGCCGAGGATTAGTTCAACTAGAAATGTAATACAAAATCACAGCAATCGTTCTTCAAATATACCTGGAAACTACGGAAGACTGGATAATGATCTGTGCCAAAGAAAATGAAAGAAGTACGAAACTTTATTCAGAAATGAATAAAGCCAACAAACTTCAAAGCGAATTTCAGGTGAGTGAAGATGTGCAAATAAACCATAATACACCGACTGCAGCGGCAAAGAACATAAAAAAGAAATCAAATGTCCCAAGTGATAAGCAACTTCATGGTCAATACTCTGCCCGTAAAAAAAAGCTGATGTAGAGAAACCCCGTCCCCATCAGTGGTTACGTACTGCCGGGTTAAAAGTTGAAACCGAAGATTTTATTCTTGCAGCACAGGATCAACGCTTACTAACTAGGAATTATCGAGCGCAAATACTAAAAAATTTTGTCAAACCGAAACGCTGATTCTATGAAAAATATCCAGAAACAATTGACCATCTTGTCTCAGGTCCCACGGTGTTAGCAGCCATTTAAAATACAACTCGGCATGATAGAGTGGGTTAGTATCTGCACGGGAAAATATGCCACTTGTAGGGAAATCTGACATGAGCATCACCCAGACCTGATTATGGAGATAGTACCTGTAACAATTTTGGTAACCCTCTAATGGTTGAAACTTTTCTCAGAAAAATATACTAGTTTTCTTTCACATTGACTTATCAATATCTTTGCAAAGTCAGAGAAACATACTGTTATATCGGATTTTGCAATATTATTTTTGTGAATACATAGAATAACAGACAAGAAATAGGTTTTCGTTTTCGTTTTTTTTAGTGTTGGGTGTGTTTTTTTTTGGGGGTATTTTTCAGATAATCGTTGTTAGAATTTGCTGCAGGTATCGGGAGATGCTGTTAATTGTAATGCTTGAGAGAGAGAGAGAGAGAGAGAGAGAGAGAGAGAGAGATCCTGAAATCAATTTTCATATTTATAAAGCTGCATTGTTGACAAAATAAAAAAAAAAGTTTTCAAACATTTATCCAAGCAACCCTTTTAATAAATATTGGGACATTATACGATAAATAAGAAATAGGAAATACTTAGCAATCTAACATGTTTCACTTTTATTAAAGTTTTGTCAGAGATTGAGAGAAAACAGACACAGACAGAACTTTGGTATTTTTTTAGTTTTGTTTAGATTGATTCTCATTGGTCAGTCATGTAATAAAATCATAGATAATTCTATATGTACGTAAGTTTGTAAATCTTCTATGTCTAAGTGGGCAAGACACAAAGACAGAAGAAGGGAAGTTAATCGCCCAGACATCAAGATCGAAGACCACAAAAACATAATGTGCTTTCTTATTAACATAGCAGTTCTTGCAGATTGCAATGCATTTTGAAGCAAGGATCTCGAAGTGGAAATCTAAAAGAGGACATCAATAATTCCACTTGTAGTTGGAACCTTCGGATTGATTGGAAAATGGTTCGATAGACGCGGTGAAGGTATTCCTGGTAGCATATGCCTCAAAGGAATACAAAAGATCTACTCACAAGTACAGCTAACAAATTGTGAAAAGCTTTATCTATGTAAAATGTGCGCGATTTTAAGTTTTCATGAAAATGATCAGTGAAAAATGTCATGACACCATTTCAGACATTAGGTCTCTGGGTGGGACGAGTAGGGAAATTTGTATACAACAGAAATCCAAGGAAATAATAATAATAATAATAATAATAATAATAATAATAATAATAATAATAATAATAATAATGGCAAGATGAACCGCTTCATGGCCCATACTCTGCCGTACCAAACAAGCTGACGTAGACAAAACCCGTACCCATCAGTGGCTACGTAGTGCTGGGTTGAAAGCTGAAACTGAAGGTTTTATCCTTGCTGCACATAACCAATGCTTGTTAACTAGGAATTATCAAGCACTTATAATAAAATATTGTGTTAGCCCAAAATGCAGATTCTGTGATAAATATCCAGAAACGATTGATCATCTTGTATCAAGCTGCACGATGTTGGCACCCACTGAATTTTAAAAACCGGCATGACAGAGTGGGCCAATATCTGCACTGGAAAATCTGCAACTTCTACGGGAAGAAAACTGAAAGAAACTGGTATTAACACCACCCAGACCCGATTATGGAGATAGGACCTGTTACAATTCTGTGGGACTACACAATACACACTGACAGAACAATCAAAGCCAACCGCCCAGATATTGTTATTAAAGACCACAAACAAAAAAAGTGCCTCCTTATTGATATGGCAGTCCATGCTGACTGCAATGTATCTTTGAAGATATTCAAAAAGCTGTCAAAATACAAGGACCTTAAAATAGAAATCTCAAAAATGTGGCATATGGGAACATCAAGAATCCCTGTTGTAATTGGAGCCCTAGGACTGGTTGGAAAAGATTCCAGTAGACTAATTGAAGGGATTCCTGGAAGTCCATGCCTCAAAGAGATACAAAACATTGTTCCGACAAGTACAGCTCACACTTTATCTATGTATTTTTTTTTTGTCAGTGGAAAGTGTCATGATGCAATTTCTAATCTTAGGTCCAGAATCAAAGAAAATAATATTAATAATAATAATAATAATAATAATAATAATACACACAGACGGAACAATCAAAGCTAATCGCACAGACATCGTAATTAGAGACCAAAAAATGTACCTCCTTATTAAAATGGCGGTCCCTGCATACTGCAATGTATCTTTGAAGATCTTCTAAAAGCTATCAAAATACAAGGACCTTGAAATCGCAATCGCAAAAATGTGGCACATGAGGATATTAACAATTCCTGTTGTAGTTGGTGCCCTCGGATTGGTTGGAAATAATTCCAATAGACTCATTGAAGGGATTCCTGGAAGCCCATGCCTTAAAGAAATACAAAAAAAATGTCCTCATGAGTACAGCCCACACATTACGAAGGCAAAATATGTGTGATTTTTTTTTTTTTAATTGCTCAGTAGAAAATGTCCTGAGGCCATTTCTGACCTTAGGTCTCCGGTCGGGACCCGGAAAGATGTTAGTACACACCAGAAATGAAAGGAAATAAAATATAGATAATAATAATAATAATAATAATAATAATAACTGTTTTAACCCGTGAAAAAAAGACAGCTTTTCTCTTTTAAATTTCTGATGAATCTTAATTTTTCAGTTAATGATTGATCATAGCAGTTCTACTATAATAAAATATCCTTAGAAACTATGACATCGTTGTTATTAAAGACCACAAACAAAAAAAGTGCCTCCTTATTGATATGGCAGTCTATGCTGACTGCAATGTATTTTGAAGATATTCAAAAAGCTGTCAAAATACAAGGACCTTAAAATAGAAATCTCAAAAATGTGGCATATGGAACATGGCCGTTATTTTAAGAAGTAAGAAAGTACAAATGAAAAGATTTGAAAGTGAAAACTTTTCCATTTCGCTGAAACAGACGTTAAACACTTCTATCTTCCCTTTTTTATTTCTTTCATTTTTTCACTGAAACCAAATAGCATCTTTGAAGTCTTTTGTCTCCTCACGCGATCAACACAGAATAGTCCATTATTTCTGAGATCCTAGCAGGAGACTTTAAAAAAATTTCTTTCTTTCTTTCTTCATTTCAGAGAAACCAAGTACCGTCTCTGATATGTATTTTCTTTCCACACGATCAAAACAGAACAGTCCATTTTCCTTGAGGTATTAACAGAAGACGCTAACCACTCCTTCCTTCCTTCCTTCCTTCCTTCCTTCCTTCCTTCCTTTATTTATTTATTTATTTCAAAGAAGCAAAGTTATGTCTCTGATATGTATTTTCTTTCCACGGGATCAAAGCAGAACAGTCCATTATTTATGAGGTATTGACAGGAGAGAGTAAACCGTTCTTTCTTTCTTTCTTTGAAACCAAGTAGCCTCTCTGATATGTTTTGTCATTCCACGCGATCAAAACGGAATGATTTATGAAGTATTGGCAAGGCGTAACGGACCTGCGAACTAACAAATGAAAGGACAATGACAATTATCATATGATAAAAACATCCCCTTTTGTGCAACGGATTTTCATTTCACTTATCTGACCTTATCCATTTAGGCATATCCTCTTATGGGCTGATGCACTTTGCATCTCTGCTCACGTGGAAGTATATCCTAGACGGT